GTAGCATAGTATTCCATTGTGTGAATGTACCATAATTTGGTTATCTGTTCATCTGTTGATGGCATTTAGTTTGTTTTCATCTCTTTGCTATATTGAGTTGTGCTGTGATGAACATAGCTGTGCATATATCTGTTTGTGTTCTGCCTCTCACTTCTTTAGGATATAATCCTAGTAATAGAATTGCTGGGTCAAATCCTCACTCCCCCTCACCACTGTCGAGTCAGATCTGACTCATAATGACCCCTCCTTGGGTTTCTGAGGTGGTATCACTATGGAAGTAGATCACCCAATCTTCTTTCTGAGGAGTGGCTGATGGGTTTGAATTGCCAGTCTTCTAGGTAGCAGTCAAATGCCTTAGGCACTGTGCCATCAGAGCTCAAATGGTATTTCTATTTTCAGTTTTTCAAGGAAACGCCACACCATTTGCCACAATCCCACCTGAAGTGTATAAGAGTTCCAATCTCTCTGCAACCTCACCAGAATTTGTTATTTTCTGTTTTGTTGACCTTTGCTATTATTACTCAGGTGAGATGATATCTCGTTGTTGTTTTGATTTGCATCTCTCTAATGATGAAAGATCATGAGCAATTCTTCATATGTTTGTTGGCCACCAGCATATCATCTTTAATGAGTTGTCTGTTCATGTTTCTTGCCCATTTTTGAATTGGATTGTTTGTCTTTTTGGTGTTGAGGTGCTGAAGTTTTCTATAGATTTTGGAGGTAGGTTCTTTGTTAGATGTCATAGGCAAATATTTTCTCTCAATCTGTAGGTTCTCTTTTTACTCTTTTGATGAAGTCTTTTAATGCACATAAGAATTTAATTTTAAAAAGATCTCAGTTATCTAGCTTCTCTTCTACCTCCTGTGCATTCTGGGTTATGTTTGATAGTCTATTTATGCCATAAATTAGGGCTCCTAGATTTGCCCCTATTTTATCTTTGATGAATTTTATAGTTTTGGGTTTTACATTTAAGTCCACTTGAGTTTGTTTTTGTGTATGGTGTGAGGTATGGGTATTGTTTCATTTTTCTGCAAGTGGATATCCAATTTTGCCAGCACCATTTGTTAAAGAGGCTATCTCTTCCCCCATTTAATGGGTTTTGGTACTTTGTCAAAGATCAGCTGTCCATAGGTGGATGAGTCTATTTCTGGGTTTTTGACTCTGTTCTTTTGTTCTATCTGTCTGTGATTGTACCAGTACCACGCTGTTTTGACTACTGTGGCTGTATAGTAGGTTTTAAGATCCAGGAGTGTGAGACCTCCCACTTTGTTCTTCTTCAGTAGTGCTCTGCTTATCCGAGGTCTCTTTGCTTTCCATATGAATTTAGTAATTGTTTTTTCCATGTTCTTAAGGGAGCTCTGGTAGCATAGTGCCTAAAGCACTTGTCTGCTGACCAGAAGACTGGCGGTTCAAACCCATCAGCCACTCCTCAGAAGGAAGATGGGGCAATCTACTTCCATAGAGATACTGCCTCGGAAACCCAAGGAGGGGTCATTATGAGTCAAGTCCGACTCGACGGCACATAACAACAACAACATGTCCTTAAAAAATTATGTTGGAATCTGGATCAGGATTGCATTTAATGTGTAGATTGCTTTAGGTAGTATTGACATTTTTACAATATTTGGTCTACCTATCTATGAACAAGGCAGGTTCTTTTTTTTTTAATCTTTTTTTTTTTTT